GGAGTATATTGAAATAGCAAAAGCACAGAAAGCAGGACAAGAAGCTTAAATGAGACATGGTGAGATAAGGATGGGTGATACCAGAACAGATACTTGTATGGATAGCAATTGATAAATCACTACCAAAAGAACTAGTGACCTCAGAAGTTGCATGAGGGGACGATGCTGAAGGACATAAACCAGGTTGTGGAAGAGAACACATCGTGTAAACTTGCAAACGTTGAGCAGTGTTAATATCTAAAGTAGAGGTATAGACTGTGGGATAGACAATAGCAGTGTTGTTAGGCCACAAACGTAGAAAAGTACGAGTGTGACTAAAATATGTACAAAGCACTAGTGTAACTTCGTTTAGTGACTAGGTAAAAGCAACAATAGCGTTTTTGTGTTCAAGAATATCCTAGAAACTGCATTTAAAGAGCACGAAGACAATTTATCAAGACCAAAGGTCAAAATACGCACAAAGTACATACAATCAAATACGTGAGGAGGCATGGGCAAAAGAGGTTTATCTAGTGGTATATCCCATGTAAGACAGTAGACGACATCAAATTGATTAAGAAATAAGCTATAAGAACAGCATCACCCCACAAACATTCATAGACATGCATATGATAGAGAAGCATACGACCTTCGTCTAAAATGTGGCGATGTTTGGATTCAACAACTCCATTTTGCTGGAAGTGTACGGGCAAAAGGTTTGATGAATTAGGCCTCAAGAAACACAGAAAGGTGCAACAATATTATGATTGAACTTCAGAGCATAATCAGTAAGAACAGTGCGCTATGCAACAGAATACCCTGAGTTTTATTTCATGGTAAAAGGATTTCAAAACATCTTGAACCTCACTTAAGTTTCTCAACAAAAATAATCATGTCATGTGGGAATAATCTACATATATAATAAAATAATTAATCCCATGTAAGACAGTAGAAGACATCAAATTGATTAAGAAATAAGCTATAAGAACAGCATCACCCCACAAACATTCATAGACATGCATAAGACAGAGAAGCGCACGACCTTCGTCTAAAATGTGACGAAGTTTGGATTCAACAACTCAATTTTGTTGGAAGTGTAAGGGCAAAAGGTTTGATGAAATAGGCATCAAGAAACACAGAAAGGTGCAACAATATTATGATTGACCTTCAGAGCATAATCAGTAAGAACAGAGCGCTATTCAACAGGATACCCTGAGTTTTATTTCATGGTAAAAGGATTTCAAAACATCTTGAACCTCACTTAAGTTTCTCAACAAAAATAATCATATCATGTGGGAATAATCATCGACATATATAATAAAATAATTAATCCCCCTAGGCTCAACTCTACTATGTCCCCAAACATCACAATGAACGAGCTCAAACACAAAAGAACTGCATTTAATAACTCTAAAAGGAACTGATGTCTGATGGTGTTTACTAACTTACAAGACACTAAAAATTAGTAAACTGACCATGAATTAAAATTTTAAGAAGGAAAAATGGATTATTAAGATAATGTTACTGATAAGGATACACAACGCACAAGAAGAAATAGGAGTAGCAACATCCAATTAACATGTCACCAAGCTCATGTCCTCCATCAATCGTCCTTTTCGTCTGCAAGTGCTAATAGATAAGAAGTCATAGAACATTTATGATTTGTCGTTATTAGGTTAATGGACATTAGACCAACAGGAAAATTAGGTGCAGAGAGAACATTATCAAGAATAATATTGGTGGTGGGCTTGACAATACCAATACTAAGAGAATAAGTGTCATCGGTTAGGTGAACAGGGTATACAAATGAGGTAAAGAAAACGATGAGAATGTAGCCTTGTTATTGGTAATATGAACGGTGGAACCAAAATCTAGCACCCTAGGCATACCATGAGACACGGAAAATGCACCAGACGAAATAGCGGCGGAGGATTTGTCAGCATAGCGAGCAAGGTTTCATACTCAGCACAAGATCGGATATCAAGTCAATTGCCTCAGAGGTTGTTGGCCACGTAGGGACTCTATTAGCCAATCAAGCTTACCGAACTTCACGCAAAATACTCCGTAGACATCATTTATTATATAAATTGTTCATGGTGGGTTTATCAACTGAAGGAGACATTAAATAACTTCGAATAAGAAAACCTTGGCATTAGTAGGTAGCAACAATGAGCAATAGGTAGGTCTACAGCGGCGGCATATGATAGTAGTACATTAGTAGAGTAAAGGTTAACCCCGACAACTACTAGAGTGGCAGCAACAGACTAGCGGCATAGACGAAAAACTAAGACATGTAGAAATTTGACCCGCTCTAGTACCATGTAAATATGAAGAGGGACAAGTACAAAAGACTCCATATATATATAGAGGGGGTATACATTAGGTTACAATATAATACTATTCAACAATGATTTCCTTAGCATATAAAGATGACTCTAATCGACCAAAATCAGTAGAAAGATATGTATCCACAATATATATACATTATAACAAACATTAAAATGTCCAACAAGTTCGTTCTTTCATAACCAGACATTTCACCTCATGTAATGAGAATTCTTTATAAAAATCGGAAATGATATAGATAGATCAAGGATACTGAAAAAAGCCCATTTAAAATAATGGCAAAATAAATGTCAATACTTCTATTTCTTCAAGTACATGATTTATCTAAAGATAATTAGAAAATAAGGAATACTTCATACTACAGATTGGAAGGAGCATCCAATACTCTTAAACGAATTTCGATAATTAACTAAACAATTATCACATATTAAATTCTGAATACAATACATTATTCCAAAATCAGCTGTAGCAGTGTATTTCGACGTCTAAGAGAACCATGGGCATAAATGAGATGCATACTTTCTCCATTAATTCCGCCACAATTTAATTCAAACAAAAACAATCTATTTGTGCATGAGATATTGAAAATAATCAAAGACAAACTACTAACTGAATAGACAAGTGTGGCATGTAAGCTGATAGATGATCTAATATGAATAACTTCAGACAAATAATTACGCTAATTGTATTAACGCGTTTGGGTCATAGTTCAGACATAATGTAAACATGGATAACTGGCTTATCATAGCCAGCCACACACACACGCAGACAAAGGATTTAGCTGCATACCGCACTTCTTTGCTGATTAAGGCCACCATTACAACGAACTCTCAAGTAGCCATTGGTTTTTGTTGGAGGAGCTGCGTGACCATACATACACAAAGTAATAATCAATCGATCTATTTTGTCAACATTTATCCATGGAACCAAAGGAAATTTGTATGAAAAGGAACAAAAACAAGCATACGGGGCCATTCAGATCTTGGATCAGATGACGGTCTCCACCCACCAGAAGGAGCTGTGTCCCAGAGTGCATCCACGTCAATCTACACACAATAATACATAAATGATGATGCTTGGTTTCATAATACATCAGATCTATCCAGATATATAATAATTAGTTTGAAGGTGTGAGATATTAGTAGAAATAACCTGGTAATCCCGGTCAAGCAATGAGATTACAAGCAAAAGGTAGAATTCCACTAAGTGTTTCCTTTATTAGCACATTTTCAATATCTTTGAAATTACTCAATTTCTTTACAGCTAAGCATTCTAAGCTACATCTACTGCTACCAAAACATAACCAAGATTAAAAGAAGCTCAGAAGCGTAAATGCTAACCCGAACTATCATCTACCGACAATAATGCACCTGAGATTGAGGCAATGGACCGCTGGTGCTCTTTATAGTGGACAAAAGTGAAACAGTACAGATGACCAGTATAACTATGGCAACTGATAGCCTACCGAACATGCCCTTAACTCCTGATTGCTTCAGTTGGTGCCTGTGTGCCAGCCTACTGGAATCAGGCGAAGTACTATCAGCAGATGCGAACTCTTTTTAAGATGATAATATTATAATCAAGTCCAGAATCATATATACAGATTGACGAATGCACCTTCTCATTTTCGCTGATGAGTGATTGTAGATCGAAATGTCAGAAATTCAGCACTAGTCTAGAGCGGAGGCAAGGGCGACAGAATTGAGAACATGTCCGAGCATCTGATGGAGAGGCCCCAACCAGGATCTAGGCAAGACCACTTTCGGCCGCTGGTTAATTAAGAAAAAAAAATGAAAAATGGGAGCTAGAGACAGCAAAAAGCGGTGGTGAACTCGACGAATCTCAGGCGAATCAGATAAAATCTAGCAATATCCAGTAACAAATCTACAAATCAACTGAGGTAAAATTAATATACCTCAGGAAGCGATTGTTAGCGAGAACCGGTGGTGAACTGAGTTGACAGATGGCCGCCGGTGGTCGCGGGTCACTGCTTATGGCCCCTGGGTGTTTAGAACTAATCGCACCCGCTTATTCGAGTCGGTTCGGCTAAAACTCAACCTTTGTCTCGATTTTATTTAAATATACCAAGCTTTTTTTTTCTTTTTTTTTTTTTCGAAGAAACACCCAGAGGAATTAAAGTCGGATTCGGTAACTTATAAATAGTGAAGACTGAAGATCTTAAATGGACGAAAAAAACACATATTTGTACAAACAGTACAAGTATAACCATAAACCAAAAGTAAAAACAATGTTGTTAATTTCGTGCTTTTCGTCTTTAGTCAGCGTATGCTCGATTAGATCATACAAGTCGTCGTCCCTATCTTTTTCGTCATGTTCCTCCGATTGTTGATCTCGGCCCGGCCCACGATCCTCTGCCTCAAATGCTTTGGGTATTTCCATTATTAAAAATTTTTGGTATTTAAGATGTTGAAAACATCATTCATGTGTTCAGCCTACAGCGTTTCCGATAGGACAACAGAGGTCGAGGTAAACCATATGTTGGTATATATACTGGAAGCTTGCATTTGGATGTTATTTAGATTATTTTCGTCGAATGGGAATCGTGTTTGATTAAACAAGTTCTATGTTCTGTTGTATTGTACTTAGATAAAATGGTTCATCGCGGGTGGACAGAAGATCATTTTATCAGCCACTTGCGAAACAAGAATGATTGGTTACAACCTATATGGAAATGAACAAACTATCAGAATGGTTATCATGTCAACCATATAGTTGATCTTGAATGATTAGTTGCACATGTACATTTTATGTATTGAACAGGATCCTAGAGAGGAGCAGTTCGTTTTATACTGATCGTCGTAAATGAACTAAGTCTCGGTTAATTACAGCGTTCTCTTAACCCGTAATATAAACAGGCATATGCACGCAGTAGTTATTACTTTGATTCACCAAAAACGAGATCCATTATGCTGGGTCAATAGTCTTCATGTTTTGGGTAATAATGTTGCGTGTATGATGTGTTATTAGAATATTTATGGTTTCTATGTGTGTTAGTTTGATGATGTCCCCGAAATGAGCTCATAAATTATTAATATGTTAAACCCTGCAGGTGGATTAAGTTCCGACACAATAACAGAAATTTGAGTGGTACTAGCTTCGGTTCAAGATGTCGATTAATTCATGATTGTCAGTAATCAAATTAATTGATTGACATTATATCTTAAACGTGGGGAGGTAATTCGAGTAATTATATTGGAGTCTTGAATATAATTCAGGGATGATGAGGGAGTGCAATAATTTTCATTAGTGGACTGAAACATTATTTAAGTTATTGAGCATAGTGGCTTGTCCCACAGTTAGGTCCAATACTAAAGAAGCCCACATCATTATCTCATTAGGGTCCTTGCTATAGCACAATAATTACATCATTAAGCTCTTGGGATTGGACAAATACATAACCGCACGCCTCAAGCGATCGGTCGGCCCTAGTTTTCATCGAGCTTTTATCTTCCGAGATTTGTTGCTCCACCAAGACAACTGGAGAGGTTTTGGGTTATATAGCAGAAATCCATAAGGTAACCGAGACCACGGTGACCCCACGCACGACCACGCCTTACCGGAGACCGTCTGTGAACCACCACACACGTCCAGTCTATTGCGAGTGACCAGCTGAGACGCATTACCCGCGATCACCGTGCACGGCTCGACACAGTAGCGACCCGTCCTGACAGTCTATGACCCCGTGAAGTTCTCGCGCTCTTTCCCTGGCGATCGTGACCCATAGGCTGCAGTCCTCGCAGGCGGACGACCCACGATAATCCCGCTCGGTGCGACCCAACGTCCGCGAGACCCTTTGCAACCGCGCTACGTTTTCCCCGTGCCCCGAGATTTCTGAACGAGGCTATTTCCGTTGAGTGCAAATTCAGGCGATATCCATCAACAGACATCTACAACGTCTCAGAGTCTGCAATTTCAAGCCGTAAGTTTTAACTCAAAACCTTTTGATCTGTCGCGCATAAATTTTATTGTTGATTATTTGATCCGTAACTTATACATGACGAGATCTTCACAGGTCCCAACAAGTGGTATCCGAGCCCACGATTAATTTGTTTTGTACAAAGTTTGAATTTTTACGGCTTATGTGATAATGTGTATTCAAGCGCCACCATGAATTGGATTATATTCGCATAACTTGATTTTGTAGGAATAAATTTAATCCACTATTATGTCCGTATGTGTTTGATTTTTTGTTGCTTGGGATTTTAAAGTCTTGGACATGTCGAGGATTTTTTTTTAGTTGAACGTTTGTAACAATATTCGCCCGATGGGATAGCAGATAGATTTCATTATTTTAGACGAACATGTAAACCCATCCGCGGGTCTAGAATCGAATTATGTAATTTTGTTAATTATATTTTGATCGTGATCAAGATCGTTTGCAGGCGAAAGATAGATCATTGAGACCGACGAACATTGACGTCTCGATCAACCTCGAACCACCGCAGCACCGCGACTGACCAAGCGAGTATGTGCGGGAGCACGATAGCACGCTACAAAGTTCCCCAGACGCGCGACTCATGGCAGCCGGAGGACGCGAGCTACATGAGGGGACTAGGAGAGCCGATCAGATGAGCCTGGGCATAGAAGTCCAAGGCTCAATGAGCAGGTTCCGCAAGGGGCGCGACAGGCCTTTACCAAAGCAAGGTGCTGCAGGGAGGCGCTCGCTGGTTTGCGCGTGAAGGTGAAGTGTTGCAGTCAGCCGCGCGATTTGCGTGCAAGGTTAACTGGGCGCAATGAACACGAGTGTGGCACATGGCCATGGTGTGCAGTAGTCCAGGTATGCACGATACGTGGGACATGCGAGGCGACCAATGGTGGCGACAGGTGACCCTCCGGCGAGTTATGGATAAAGACTTGTTGGACAATCAATTGGATATCTCAAGGATTCTACTGTAGTGGGAGTTCCAAGTGGATTAGTAAAATCAGAAAATCCTATATGATAGTTTCCTTATCTACATGGAGTCATTAGTTAATGGTCATAAAAGTAGATTTATTTTCATTGTTATATTATGTCTATTATATATGTTTCATGTGATTTCTGAATTGCATAATAAAAATCCTCAATTAAAAATTATACTATGTGAGAAAGAATTTTAAAATTAAGGTTAATTTTAAATCCTCCATTTCTGGTTTGTTGGTAAATCATTAATCGAAGTGTGGGCTCCGCCTCCAAAGACACTACTTAGATTAATTCTAGGAAGTTACCAAACAAACTTCCAATTGGACAATTATAGGAGTTCATCTAGAGCGTACAGGCCCCCCACCGAGGACATATATGATAACCTTAGAATCGTGGAATGGGTTCCACTTAGAATGCGATAAACATCATAACTCTCAAATGAGTCGTTGATTTTTATTGCATAGCCAAAAGGAAACCGACTATTAGTTTTGTTCGCCATGAATTTGATTTTGGCTCATGAAAACTAATGGGTTCTTAAAAAACCCTTCTCTTGTAAATGTTTAGTACGTAGGGCTGCACACGTAACATATGTTACTCTCAGTGTTTTGAGATGTTGGTAAATTTAAGTTAATATCGTTTTGAGGGTACCAATGTTAATAGGTAAATTAAAAAGTATTTAACCAGTAAAATTTTTTCATGATTCCAAGGTTATATTCAACATGCTTTCAATCCTTTGTCTGTCATTCTAAAACAAAATCATCTTACAGCCCAATTTGCGTTGATTAAAAAATGAATTTGGACATAGTGCTAGCTGTTAAAGGATACAAATATTTACTCACTGAGGATTGTTCGGATGTGCCCAAACAAGGGGCAACTGATTAAGAGGAAGAAGAGTATGCCAAATGAAAGAAGTTTGATGAGATGACAAAGTGTTACATGTTGGCTTATATGTCAAATGTTCTTCAACATCAACATCAGTTTGTGCTTACTGCGACAGAAATACTCTTCAATCACAAGGATCTATTTGGCCACCAATCTCAGGCTGTCAGGCAGGTAGCCATGAGGATACTGATGAGCATGCACATGACTAAGGGCACACCCGTAAGGGAGCATGCTCTTCAAATCATGGCACAACTTGATGAGCTGGAGGTCCTTGGGGGCTAAACATGGCCAAGGGCC